TACAAACGGAATTCTCTTGCATAAACATTCTGTGGAGTTTATGTCTCACATTAAAAAACAGCAGCACAGACTGTGGTAAATTGAATAAATTAAAGAAAGTGTAGAAAAGAATAATAAATAGGATTAAGAGAACAGAGGAATTGCCTCTTGCTGATTAAAGTGGTCTCTCAAGAAAGTGATATATCTACCTTGTACTATGAGTTGGGGTGAATTATAAAAATAATAAGCTGTTCAATTTGGCAAAACTTCTAGGCTAGAAAACATAAAAAAGAGGAGGAAGAGAGGAAAGAATTTTAAAAGAAATAAATGTCCACTACGTATTTTGGAGATCTCCATAAAGCAACTGTGATTCAAATGTTTTGATAAAACAATATATAATGATGTCCTTATTTTTACACAACTATTTTCTAGTTATCTTCTAGTTGGTACAAGCAAAAGATCTTAAAAATAAACTGAACTGAATGATATTTGAGGGGAGAAAAACAGATTAGAATATAACTTAAGATTACCCACTCAGTCTTTCTTTGCTTTTCTTCCGAATTTCTAGATCTTAAAATGAAAACATAAATAAAGTCGGCCCGAATTTTTTTTTCTTAGTGTTTTATGAGTGAATTTCACTTTTGAATATGAATAACCCCTTCCCTTCAAATCTCGGGAAAAAATATACCTGTATCAATTATTTTTTCTCCATCATAAGTTGATAAGAACATTTCAAACACTTCTAAAATTTTGAAGCGCAATTCAAAGATTCAGTCAATATATTGATACCTTCATTACAATGGTTCATTTTGCATTAGTAATTTTATTTCTGTAATCTATATCTTTTGATCATGCTATTTTCTTAAACAAAATAGTTGCCCCCAAATTTTGTTTGTATTATTTTCACAGAGCAAATAAAGACAACATAAACATGTTTATATTTGATTTAAAACTAAACATAGTGTTTTTAATTGATCTTCCAATAAAATGTATTTTTAATCTGGGAAGATCCCATTTATCTCTTTTTGAAAACAACAACAATAGCGCAAAGATTTTAAACTTTTTTCAACTCAAAGCAAAATGAAAATGTCCTCAATGGATTATAGAAACTATTTTCTTTGTTTATTTGTTTGTTTCTTTTGGCTTTCCATTGTCTCCAAAAGGTTGAATACTAAAAAGTAAAAAAGATGAAAAGTAGAAAGAATATTGATTCGACAAAATGCACTGCCTAAATGTAGCAGCCATGCCTCATCCTTTATTTTTATCAATCTTCTTTTTTTTCTATGTTGCTGAGAAGGCATGGGGAAAGGACACAAATATGATTGACTTGTTTTTTTTTTTTATGTTACATCTCTCAGATGGCAAATATTAATTAAGAAAGTTGATTTATTTTCTTTATATATAATTTTTTTCCCCAAACAGAAGCTGGTATAATAGAGTATAAGCATTCAGAAATGTGTTGATGAGTGAATGAATGATGAGTATTATGACCACTAATATAAGAAACACATCTATTGGAAGAAACATGTCAGCATACAGGACTCTTTATGGAATCAATATGCAATGGAATCTTAAGACTTCATAAGTGATTTGCTTTCGGTAGACTTTGCTTATAGAAAAATATGTACAAATTTGGAAAAACCAACTCATACAACATAAAAAAATCTTACCTTAATATATGTGAAATATGTTATCTGAGATAAAACACTAATTATTGTGAATTTAAGCCATTTTGCAGATGATTAATCCTTAAAATAAACAATTTACTCATATTGGACTAAGATAATGTTCCTTCTAATAATAACTAAGAATCCATGTAAAATAAAACATTTTAAGCCTCAAAAATAGAACAGAAGTGAAAGTCATGGAGCACCTTTGTTTATAATCATCTTTGTTCCATGTGATTAATTGAATACTAAAGTTTTGGAAATAATTAAAAATCCTGCCATATTTAACTAAAAACAGAATTTTAAATCTGTACTTTTTCTACATTTCAAATAGATAAGCATTAAAGATGCTACTCCAATGTGCACAACTATTATTATCAAACAGTAGGTTTTAATTGTGTAATTACATACTGGGGTATCTTCAGTTCTGTAGAGAACTGTGATTTCTTTAATCACAATTAACCTAGTGAGTTAAAGACAAGTCATTCTTCTTGTAAAAAGAGGTTATTTCTCTACTAAATAATGCCCCAACTGAATATTTCAAAAAGTAGTAAATAAATTTTCTTTCTGTCAAAACCATGAATTTCCAAGGCTTTGAATAAAGCTAAGTCACACTAAACCTTTTTTTCAAGAATAGTAAATTATACCTTGAATAATAAATGGTAGGATTTATTATTATATTTGTGGTTTGTATTTTATTTTTATGATTGCCTACAGTTTATTTTATAACTGTTACATTCCTACTTGTATTTACCTGTCTTTATTGCAGTTATCACTATATAACTTCATATTACATATTAATTTATTAATATTGCTATTTTATATCCCCATTTTTATGCAATAGAATAGAAGCTCCATGGCAACAGGGACTTCACTTTGTTCACTGATAAATTTCCAGTTACAATCTGTAACTATTTTTTAACTAATAAATCCCCAGCTTTAAGATACAAATGCAAAAACTCAAAGAGTTTGATATAGTGGCCCAAGACTTCCTAGCTAGTCTTTGGTGGTCTGTGAAATGAGCCTAGGTTCTCTGAAATAAAAAGGAGCTCAACCTTTCCCCTTAAAACCAAATTTTTATTACATTGATTTAAGAAAATGTGTTAGCAGTTATTATTTCATAGGTATGCTTCCCGAGAGGCCTTCCAACTCTCCTCCTAGAAATATATAAATATATACACACACACACATATATATACACACACACACACACACACACACACACACTATATATACTATACAAATAAATTCTATATATGTGATATATATCCTGGCTACATTTCTAACATAGGTTTTGTAAGCTTAATTCTAGAAACTATAGATTGATTACACAGCACATTTCAGGTGTTACATAAATATTTCATAAAATTGAGGCTCTTCCACATAAAGTCAGTAACTATCAGTAAAGCTCTATCATAATTGAATTTTCATATTTTATTCAGAAGGTAAGAGATGGGTTTGAGCAACTCTGAGAAATAAGTTGTCAGTTCCGATTCCTACAGAAATACTGTAATTCTGTGTTTCTAAACTCAAGTTTATACTTTTCAAAATGTCTCTTTTATAGATTCCTAAGGATTGAAATTTTAGAGCCACAAATTTCTCTTATTTGAGTTTCATGGTGAACTGGGAGTAGAAAGAAGTTATAAAATGCAAACATTTCATAGTTTCTTCTTTAGACAATTATTCGTCAATTATTTGTCCACTGTAGTTAGGTGTCCCTACTGTTATTCTCACAGTTGTTTCTCCTATGCCTTAATTTTTTAAAAAAAGTAATTAAAAAAACCACAAGACTTACAAAGAGGTGAATTCTAAGATCAACTGAAAATACATCAAAGCATAGATATTCAAGGGTATCTGTAGTGGTGCAGATCCTCACTGGAATTTGTGGAATACAAAAATGAATATGTTTTATTGCTTATGGGGACTGTTCAATTTTATAAGCTTAAAATCTAAAAAGTAGCAAAAAAAAAAAATTTCAGTATAGTCATTTCAGCCAATTCAGTGAGGTGAGGAGTAATCATCATTATTATAGCAGCTAAGATTTACTACAATCATTCCATTTTCCAGGTACTGTGGTCTTAGCTATCAGAGTATACTCATCTTTGTAAAACCTGCTCCATTGTAAAATGGATATGTCAGGTCATTATTTTTCCTTTCATCAAGTGTCCTCATTTGTACTAATTATATACTTACCAAGGGAACTTTATCTTATTGCCTAAAATATTGGTCTACCAAAAAATAAAAATAAAAAATGATGATCACATGATATTCTAGTTTTCCACTTCATCAGATAGGGATGTCTCGAGGGAAATACAGAAATGGCTTTGATGATAATATAACTTGTCACCTAAAAATGTCACAGGGAATTAATGTGTTTATTGGTCTTGTCACTAGAACAATAAATTCTTCTATTTAATTAACTATTTGGCACCCTGATGGCTACCTGAGTTATGTGTGTATTTTCATCACTCATCCCAGACACGGATGGGGGAGTGCTGGCTTCAGAGTGCTGACTCAGGTCTTAACGGTTCTTATCACTACCACTTCCATCTACTAATGTAGGTTTCAAAAAGGGATCAGAAATATTTCTGCCTAAGAAAACTCTAAATTTACATTTACATAGGTTTTTTAAAAATCTACAAAAAGAAATCAGACATGGAAGGGATAATTTCTTAAACAACTAGTGTTGAAAAAATGGAATATCCATATGTAAAAAAATAAGGTTGGGCCCTTATCTTACACCATATGCAAAAATTAACTCAAAATGGATTAAACATCTAAATATAAGACCTCCAAACCATAAAATGCCTAGAATAAAATATATGAAAGGAGTTTTGTAACACTGGATTTGACAATGATTTATTGAATATGGCGCCAATAGCACAGGCAACAAAAGCAAACATAGACAGATGGACTACCTCTGATTTTAAAACTTTTTGCCCAATTAGTGACACAATCATCAGGGTGAAAAGGCACCCTATGGAATGGGAGAAAATATTTGCAAATCTTACATCTGATAAGGGATTAGTATCATAATATCTACAAAACTCCAACAACTAAACAGCTAAAATAAACAAGTAACCCAATTAAAAAAATTAAAATTAAAATAAATCAAGTAACCCAAAAGGAGGAAGGATGGGAGGGGCATGAGGGCTGACAAATTAGCTATTGGCTACAGTGCTCACTATTTGGGTGCCTGGCACACTAGAAGCCTAAACCTCACCATTATTGCAATATATCCATGTAACACACCTGCACATGGATCCCCTGAATCTAAAATAAAATTTTAAAAATAAAAACGTTAAAAATCAAGGTCATATAAAAATAAATATATAAGGAAACAAAATCAATTACTCTGTTAGATCTTCTATCTTTTTTTCCACTAGAGTAGGAGGCACATTGGAAACAATGACTTGCATATCCAGCTGATTGACCACAGAGACCTGAAAGAAGAAAAAAGAGAATTCATTTAATTTTCACTCACCGAAATTTCCATAATCAGAAAACCCCCATATTACCTCTTCCCTACTATGCATAGACACAGTGGTTTCTCATTTTCAAATTCAGGAACAATTTTTTTTTTTTTTTTTAATTATACAATCTACACAAGGGGTTGGAGACTAACTGGGGCAGACTGAGCATGAGAAACTATTTGTTGTTTACCTAGAAATTAAAAATTCTGAGTTATTTCAATTGTTTTTGGTTTTGTGTTTGTTTTATTGGGTATTTACTGAGACATGAAGGGTGGCATTTTTTAAAAAATTTGATTGTTAAGGAACACCCAAGATAATGAAAAATATGTTTTATATTTTACAAGTCTTGAGAGATCATTTATTCATTGTAACTAAGAATCTGAGATATGACTGGTTAGAATAATTCATTCTATGAGGTCATCACATATAGTTTTCTTATCTATTTAACCAACTTTAAATTTGTGTAGGTAGAGATATATATTTAGAACTTTACCTATGGGTTAAATGAGCTAATTTAACGGCTATTGATAACTATGTCTCATTCATTTAAAATCTACTGAATTTCTTCTATGATCTTACATTTGAAAAATAGAAGAAAAATAAAAATATTTATTCTGTGCTTACAACATGGCATTTATTCTTTTCCTCAATATTTTACAGGTTTAACTCATTGAAATATACAGAAAGAATCAGGTTGTTATTAAGATCATTTCAATTTTAAAATAAGAAACATAAATGGAAGATATATTTAATAACTTAATCCTAATTAAATGCAGTCTGTCTTACACCAGAGCTTGTGCTCTTTACTATTTTTCAATACTGATATAAAAATTCTAAAAGGCCATATATTATCATGCACATACATTTACACACTATTAAAATATAAATGCATTTGTACCAGAATCATAAATTGAACACTCTGGGTTAGGCACATTTAGCACCGCATCTCAATACAATCTACAGTAGGGAGTAATTTCACATTGCCATATATTTTTTTATGGGCTCCAGGTTCTTTACATATAGAGACCCCTATTAGTGGTCACAAACTCAGATGTCTTCAGGAACCAGGCAGGTAACTTAAATGAGAAAAGTAGCTAAAAGTATGAAATAATAGAAAGAAGTGGAAGTAACACAAATCTGAGAGCATATTAACTCAGCTGAAGAGGTCAGCTACTACTCACCTCTAAGGAATATTGCAATATGGGGAAAAAAAATCCAGATTTCCTAGATCTTTCAGTTTTTCAGGACAAAAAGAAATCCAAAATATTATGTAAAATGTTTGCTACTAGTTAGAAATCTATCAAACCATTGTGTGAGCCTAATCAATCATGTCTGAAGACTCTATTAAGACAGGAGTAGGTCTGATTATTACTTCTGAGCAAGCAGTTTATGCTGGCAGTTTTAACTTTGTGCCCCTAACCCGTTATAGGAGTCCGGCACCAAATGACTAAATTTCCCTTCAACATGTAACTGAGTCTTGATTGTCTTTTTACAAAACACATCTAACTTCACTAGCAAAAGGGATCATTACAGTTTTTGTATCATTTTGTCTTTTCTTATTGGTCTTCAGTAAAAAAGGATATAGAAGTTGCATAGAAATATTTTTTGTTTTATTGTTTTTGAGTTTTTAGCAGTAAAATTACATGATAAAAATTTTTAGAAGTATGTATATGAAACTTGTATAACTGTTCCCTCCTTCCCTCCTTTCCTTCTTTCTTCCTTCCTTCTCCTTCTTTTTTCCTTCTTTTAACATTGAACCAGAAAAGGTTAAAAGTTTTGATAAAAAGCAAACCACCTGGAACAGGTGGTAACTACACAGTGTTATCCCAATGAGAATTACAGTCACTAGGCCTCATTCTCTGTTCCCCGAAGCCCCCATCATCTCCTCTAACTGCTGGACTCAGAAGTACTGGAGTCCTGGCCTCAGGACAGAGGAGCTTTTGTAGTGGGACTAGCGCTGAAGCACTTCCTAATTCCACCATCTGTTGGGAGAAGGCCCCTGGACCATGATGTGGGTCATGGATACAGTGAGTAGTAGGGAGCATTAGCAGGATAATGGAAAAGAGAGGAAAATGAGTAGGAGAAATAACTCCTTATTATTGAGTCTTTCAGTGGAAAATTGTTAGGACTGTCTGACCTGTCAAACTGTTCTCTTCTCACACATCTGTCTCCTGGTCTGGTAAGCATGTGCTTCAACCCACCTTTTCTGGCTGACAGACTGTTAGAAATCCCTACTATTAGTATTCCTCTAATTCTCCAATGTCTCTTATTTCCCTACATTCATCCTGCCCAGGCCTTCAAAAATAGACCCTTCAATAAACTGTCTTCAAATTGTCTGATTCTTGCAGTGTAGACTTCAATTTTTTTAAAAATCTGTTTCCAATGTGCATGAATTTTCTGCAAGGTTCTTATGGATATAGATCCAAAAAACTATACAAGCTGGTGTCAGGCTGTATATACCAGAAATCTGTCACACTTTGCAAATATTATATAAGATGTGAACAAAAACAAAGGTGGGAAAAGAACTAAGTAGTAACTAGTGGAGGATAGATTCAGCAGCCACAGAGGAAGACCAAACATAAGCTTTTCTATCTTAGGGTAGAAACAGGATTTAATCAAGGAAATCTCCTGCTCCAAGGATGGGGATCTACATTATATATACCCAACAGGATTTCAGAATTGGCCTGGACAATTCTGTTTGTCTACCATTATTGTCCTCTTCAAATAGGAATTTCTATTGGATATTCTGTATTTTTCCACCATCTATACTCGGTGAATTTATTTTCTGGATCACTAAAATACCAGCAGTTCCCTCTAGACCAGATAAAAAGAACAGCATGACAGCTAAGATTCAGGTGTTAACTTTGATAAGACTTTGTTCTATTTGTGTGGAAAATAATGAAATATTTGATAATCAGAAGTATAGACTGGTTAGCTGTTCACCCAGCTCTGTCTATCTTCCTATTGGGAACATACAATAGATTTCTCAGCCCTCTTTGTAGTTTAATGGAGCCATGTGATGGAGATCTGACCAATGTAAAGTTAGTGGAAGGGAAAGAATGAATGTTGTTAAATCTGAAGGAGAGTCAGTGCTTTCCCTTCATCAGAAAGATAAGTTACTTATTCAAAATATTTTAAGCCAGATGTAGCGCCTCACACCTGCAATCCCAGCTCTTTGGGTGGCTGAGGCAGGCCGATCAACTGAGGCCAAGAGTTTGATACCAGCCTGGCCAACATGGTAAAACCCTGTCTCTACTAAAAATACAAAAAATAGCCAGGCATGATTGTGCATGACTGTAATTCCAGCTACTCTGGAGGCTGAGGCATGAGAATCACTTGAACCCAGGAGGCAGAGGTTGCAGTGAGCCAAGATCATGCCACTGCACTCCAGCCTGGGCGACAGACTCTGTCTCAAAAAAAAAAAAAAAAGTGAGATTTTGAGCAAAATTCTGACTGAAAGAGCATGAGTTAACATTTAAGGTGTCTGGAATATATCGATTTTAAAGTTATACTTTATTATGATGTTAATATATTTTGAAAATATACTTTTGTATTTTCTTTTAAAGATACAAAAAGAAAAAATATTTAATTCTGATAAATTAACAAAGGTCGCACTGTCGCACTGTATTTAACTCCAAGAGTAGTTGTCTCACACTTACCTCTAACTAATTACTTTAAAATTTTTAAATCTCCTCAAAGTGCTAATGTCTGATTTATGTAGAACACACACATTTTGACTACACAAATGCAGAAAATAGGATATTACAATTTACATTTTGGTCTTCCACAGAAATTCTACAACTTTATTCTGGTTTCTTTTATCATCTATAACAAGGATATTTAGCTGTTTAAGATTAGTAGATTTTATTTATGCTACTTTTCCAGTATACCTTCTGCAAAAATGCAAATATTTCCAGAACTTTGCATGTCAGTTTATTACACCAAATATTTAGTAATTTTTTGTAAAATTATTTAATTCCGTAGGTTAACCACTAATGAAGGCTTTATAAATATGTTTCCATCATCATTGAGATTTATACTTGTAATGGATTAAAATTACTAGGTATTGTTAAAAAGAAGAGAAATAACATTTGTGAAGCACAAAATTAAAAAAAAATGGCTGGAAATTTACATGTTATTATGTCTATGTCCTTTCCATTTATTCTCATAAGTTTCTTATACATTTTAAATAGTGCTGTCCAATAGAAATATAATGTGAGCCACGAATACAAATCACATATGTAATTTTAAATTTTCTGGCACCCACATTAGAAAGATGGAAATAATAAGATTAATTCAATAACACATTTAACCCAGTATGTTTAATATATGTTTAGTAAAATATAATTTTAACATGTAAAGAACATTCTACATATTATTATTGAAGTCTTTGAAATCTGGTGTGTATTTTATACTCATAGCACATCTCCGTGTGACCTAGCCATGTTTCAAGTATTCAATAGCTACATTTGGCTGATAGCTAGCATATTGGACAACCCAACTTTAGAGATATTCATCACCTCCTGCTTGAACTGTCTTTCCTAACTGGTCTCTGTTGCAAACTCACTTTTTATGAAATAAAAGAGGTGTTTTAATAGTCCACTTAGATAATTATGTATTTTCTTTTTAAAATACTATGCCAAAATTCAAGATTAGTTTCCACATGAAATCTAAAACCATGTTCAGTTATACTAAAATCTATTTGTCTGTCTTGTACTTGTTTTTTTTTTTTTTTTTTTCAAGATGGAGTTTTGCTCTTGTTGCCCAGGCTAGAATGCAATGGCGTGATCTCAGTTCACAGAAACCTCTGCCTCCTGGGTTCAAGCGATTCTCCTGCCTCAGCCTCCCGAGTATCTGGGATTACAGGCGTCCATCACCACACCCGAATAATTTTTGTATTTTCAGTAGAGACGAGGTTTCATCATGTTGGCCAGGCTGGTCTTGAACTCCTAACTTCAGGTGATCCCCCTGCCTGCGCCTCCCAAGTTCCTGGGATTACAGGCTGAGCCAACACACCCAGCCATTGTACTTTGAATAGATCTTTTACACATGTATAACTTTTTAACATCTTGCATTGGCCACTTAGAAAATACAAGTTTACTGAACGCTGCACATTTTGCAAATATCAACACATTTCATTACACAATATCAATAAATAAATCACATTATTTAATAAAACCACTGACTCATCAAGAAAGTCTAAATATTCAGAAGCTAGTAAAGTTTACAGTGACAGGTACAATATTTTTAATATTCTAATTTGTCCTTGAAAGCTTCAGTATTATCATTACTTGTTTACATTGAAATGACAGGCTCCCTTCATCCATTTGGTGTAAATGCCTACCAAATACTTAAGTGTGAATAACCATATTTTGTCTCTAAGTTGCTCTTTCATATGACAGTGTTAGTCCATTTAAAAAGCAGCTAGTTCAGCTTGCATAGTGCTTTTCCTTGAGGCAACCATCTTCCACATACAGCAGGTATACTTTTTGCCTACTTCTCATTTCATCAACAAATATTGAAAAGGTGTTTAGGACACTTTCATTGATAGGTTAGCCAGCTGCCTAGATAGATATACAGTATTTACTAAGGGAATGAATGTGAGGTTTAGAAGAGAAAGGAGTCAAGAAATTTTTTGCCTAAGGAACTCAAAGTGATTTGGTCATCAAATAAAATGAGGAAGACTATAGGTGGAAGAAATATGATGAAGAAGAGAAATCTATTAGAAAACACTAAATAAACACGTTTTTAAAAATATTCAAGTGGAATGGCTACATGTACAAATAAATATGCGAGTCTGGTGTTCAGGAATGACCTTTAGGGTAAAGATGTAAGTTTGAGAGCTTTCACTATGTAGATGATATTTTTAAGTTATGGGACTAAGTGAGCTTAACAAGTGAGTGAATGCAGATAGAAAAGAGATGTAATGTCTGAGTCCTGAGAAACCTCAATACTAAAAGGTCAGGAGAAGAAAATGAACCAATAAAGGAGACTGAGAAGGAGTAAACAAGGGAGTATGGTGGGGGGTCTGAAACCTTAGTGAGGGTAATAGTCAAGCATTGCTGACGGTTCAAGTAAGATAAGGACTGACATATCAGTACATTTCCTAACATGAAAGTCATTGGAGGCATCGACAAGAATAGTTTGGAAGAGTGATTGGAGAGAAAACACTCCTATGATTAGAGGGTTTAAGAGAGATTCAACAGTGAGAAATAAGTCAATTCTAACATAGAATTTTGCTAGAGAGAAGAATAGAGAAATGGATGACAGCTAGAAGGTGATATAGATCAAGAGATATTTTAGAATTTTTGGAAGATAAGAAAAAAGCATTGTTGTGAGAATAATCTGATATAAGGAGGAAATTTATATTAATAATGTGGAAAAGAAATGGGAGAGCTGCTGAGGCAATGTCCAAGAGCTGGTGAGTGGGAATTGGATCTACTGCATTAGTAGATGTACAGGTTTAGATAAAAACAGAGATAATTCATCTAAAAGAGCTAGAAAGAAGGCAAAGAGCATTGGTCTAGATCCTGGAGGGTAGGTAGATTTAGTGGTAGGAGTCATAGAAGTGTCCTTCTAAATGCTTTAGTATTAGTTTTCTGTGAAATAGCATGCCAGTTAATCAGGCCATAGTGAGAATGAGGACAAGGTACTGGAGAATTAGGAGCAGAGAAGATTTTCTGTGACATCGAGGCAAAATATAGAGTGATTACTGAACAAAGCAAAAGCTCATTTGGAGGGTTTCAGTCATTAATTTAAATGGATACTGACGCAGGAGAATAGGGTCTGGAGGCAGGGAACCGAAGGCCAATTTGTGCTGACTTCCTAAAGCTGAATCAAAAGGGAAAACACCAAGGTCTGGGGCCAGGGAATCTAAGGCCAATTCATGATAGTTTTCTAATGGTGGATTAAACAGGAAACTCCTGGGTCTGGGGGCAGGGAACCTAAGCCAATTAATGCCAACTTCCTAAAGCTAAACCAAAAGAAAGAAAGAAAAAAAAGATCTCTCCACACCCCACCTGAGTAACAAAGGATCAAAGCCTACTCTCCCTAAAACCCTCCCCCTTTCTCAGGCCATTCCTCATTCATTTTTCCTCTCATACTCTTCCAGGCTGAGTACACATTTGTAATTTATTCAGACTTGTCATCATCTCTCTTCCTTCTTGGTTTGGGCACTCACACTCTCTAGATAAACCTCTTATTTATCTCATCTCCTTTCTCTTGACTGGTAGGATTACAAAGCTTATCATAAATATCATTTGGCTGGGATGGCGTACTAGATGTTATTAGTTTGCATCAGAATATGATATCTATATATAACAAATTATGGTTTCTTTGAATTAAATGTCTTTCTTTGTAAATATATTTTGAATGATATTAAAAGGCATATTCTTAAATTTCCACACAATAGGTATGGAATTCAAACATTAAAAATAAACTTTATATCTCATATGTACACTAATATGTACAAAATATATACATATATAATTAGACTGATATATATTTAAAGATTATATATTAAAAGTATATATTTTGCAAAGATTATATATATTTTGTTTGTGTTGATTTTTATAGTATTTTAATTACACTTAGTGTAGTGACTTTATTGTTTAGTTTTTATTTTATTTTTTATTTTTTCAGACAGAGTCTTGCTCTGTCGCCCAGGCTGGAGTGCAGTGGCTTGATCTCGGTGTACTGCAACCTCTGCCTACTGGGTTCAAGCGATTCTCCTGCTTCAGCCTCCCAGTAGCTGGGATTACAGGTGCACATCACCACGCCCAGCTAATTTTTGTATTTTTAGTAGAGACAGAATTTTACCATCTTTGCCAGGCTGGTCTCAAACTCCTGACCTCAAGTGATCCACCTGCCTCGACCTCCCAAGGTGCTGGGATTACAGGTGTGAGCCACCATACTTGGCATATGTTTAGCTTTTAAGAACCAAAATGTGCATATCTTAAATAATAGAACAATAGAATAGGACATTATGTTACATGAAATAAGCCAAAAACAGAAAGTTAAAAACCACATGTTCTTATTCATGTATGGAGTCTAACAAAAGATGATCTCATAAAAATAAAGTGTATAAGGTTCTATAAGTTTTACCGATCTTAATTTGATCATAAATTTATGTCAAACTTAATATCTCCTATGTCAAAACTTCTTGGCTTAGAATGGCCTTCATTTACTCTATTGCAGCTTTACTGTTAAAAAAGAGAATGCTCCTGGAGGGCTGTTTGGGCCACAATCATGGTGATTGTTCTTCACCATTATCTAAGAACAAAAATATTTGATCATTGATGTCTGCATGTACATGAAGGTTATGCTTGTCCAGGGAACTAAATGAGGCGAACTGTGAAAAAACGAAAATGTACAATGCAAAGAACAAAAGACAACTTATTCTTGATCTGTCTTTATGTGACAAATATTTCCAATAAATATACTTTGTATTAGGGTCATCAGACAAAAGTCCAAATAACCTATGCTTTCAAGTTGGTAAAGAGTCCACAGGATATATGAACTGCTATTAAATATTTTCAATAAAAGCTAATATCGAACTTCCCTTTCAAATGATCTATCACTGAACTTCTGCACAGCCTAAGTGAAAATTAGAACAATGATATTATTGACTATAGCCAAATATAACTTAGTCAAGGTTAATCAATGTCATCATTGGGGATTTTGATAGAACAAAGAAATAAATACTATTGGAACAAAATTTGCCCCCAAACATTTTCTTTGTATTCTCAATTACAAAATGCTGAAAGTAATTTAAACAAATAACTTCATAGTTTAATTTTCATAGTATAACTCTGTGAAGTATTTAAAATTTTTATGTAGCACTGGACAACACTATATTAAAAATGAGCTTTGAAGACCAAATAGAAATCCAATGCTTATACCTTTGTTGTTACAATCATAATTTTTCAAATATTATAATGTTTTTCTCAAAGGTCAAGAAAAATAAACATCTTATGGTGTTATATATATGAACCATATATTTACATATTCCTAAACTATAGTGACTAACAATCTGAGTGAATATTAATAATAACTATGTTTTTGAAAACCCGTTCTAAATTAATCTTAGAAGTTCTATAAGCTGAAAACACTGAACCATGGCTAGTATTGCAGCTACTTCCCTTTCCTGAAGTTTTATCTACTTACAAGTACATCAGCTTTGCCACTCAGTCCCTTCCCATAGTCGTCAGTTGCAATAACTTGAAACTTGAAGTAGGATCTCCTCATATTATGGAAGAGCATAGCAGTTTTGATAAGCCCTGTATATGTTTCCACTACAAATCCTTCTTTTCCCTCTTTAATTGGTGGTATTATGAGTCTGTAGGCCATGACACTATAATTGCCCGTATCTTTATCAGTAGCCTAGGAGGAGAAAAAAAAGAGATTATGATTAAGCAGGAAAAGATAACCTTTATGAAACGGCTTATTTTTGTTTGTAAGAATGAGGTTTCTTATGTAATAATAACACAATAAAGCCTTCCTAAATGTCTATTTTTTCTGGATATAGTTATGTAGATTCATAGACTTTGTGTTCACAGTTTCGAATGGTTGTTATTAGAATGATAATAATTACTGACATATGAATAAAAAGGACATAGGTATAATTTTGTACCCTTTAACAAATTTCTCCCTACCCCTCCTTTCCTTTTACCCTTCCCAGCCTCCAGTATCTTGTATTCTACACTTTATTTTTATGAGATCATCTTTTTTTTTAGATTCTACATATGAATAAAAACATGTGCTGTTTAACTTTCTGTTCTTGGCTTATTTCATGTAACATAATGTCCTAGATAGGGGGAATACATTCTAGAGCTCTATACCACTGTAGAATAACTATAGTTGACAATGGTATATAGTTCCAAATAGCTATAAGAAGGATAGTGAATTTTCCCAACACAAAGAAGTGATAACTGTTTGAGGTGATAGATAGGCTAATTAATCTGATTTGATTGCTATGCATTACACATACAGAAACATCTATGATGCCAATAAGTAAGTACTATTCTTATTTGTCAATTTTAAAAGTATATTTAAAAAAACAGACGTAGACACTAACAAAGTCAATGAATCAAGATTTTTGGTTTACATGTTTGTTGAGTTCAACTCTGTGTGTTGATACAAATTGGCTGAAGGATGGAATTGGTTGTTTACCTAATGTTTGTCTTGCTGTAATAGGCATACAATATGATGGTATTTTTGATATAGCATATAGCCTAAGTGGGATACATATAAAAGAATGTAGTAAAATATCTAGACTGAAATAAAATAAAGTACCATCCGACTTCCTTTTTAATCATCTTGTATCCTGATTAAGCATATTTGTTCCTGTGATAGGTACTTATGATCCACACATTAAAGTTTCCTACCATTTAGAATTAAAAAGGACTGGCACATTGTTTAGACTTTTTTCATTTGTTTTTAAATACAGCTATGATAACCATAAATTGGGTCAGCTTTATGGTATCTAATTGGGGGAAATGTTTTAGAATGTCTATTTCAGAATTATTTCATAGTGAAATACTTGGAAAATAAATGGTAGATAAGAGAGTTTTAGAAACTTGATAAAAGATGATATATACCTTATTCATGATACCAGATGTGTAAGTTATACATTCTCATTATAACAATAATTATTATTTTTATTATCTGTTTATTCCTATTTTTATCTATGCTATTATTATTAAGTATGAATTTGAGTATGCATTTATGATCTGCCATTACTAAGAATTGCTAAGAATCATACAAAATACAAAATACAATCATACAAAAATAGTCTTATCTAATAACAATAAAAAAACTGAGGAATATATTGTTTTACTTATATAAATTAGTGCTATCCAATAAAACTTTCTGAAGTGATAGAAATGTTCTTAATCAGCTCTGTCTTATGCAGTAGGTACTAGCCAAATATGACAAATGAAAAGTGGTTGATGTGACCAAGAAACTGAAATTTCAATGTAATCTAATTTTAATTTAAGTTACATAATGAAAGACTACATAAGTGGTAAAGTTGAGACATGAATGATTAAAATAGTAAATAATAGCAAATGTGTATTAAATACAGCATGAACTTGATTTAGCTTCAAATTCTATATATATTGTGAACCATTTAAAACATTTCCAGATAATCATATCACTTGTTAGAAAAGGTAATTTAAACTACACAATCCAGATAACTTCACTTCAGGATCAGTTATTTCATGAATTTTCTAGGAAGTTAATATTCCCTCTTTTTTTTTCTCTCTCTCTGTCACCCAGGCTGGAGTGCAGTGGCATAAACTCGGCTCTCTGAACCTTAGTCTCCCAGGTTCAAGTTGTCCTCTCATATCAGCCTCTGAGTAGCTGGGACTATAGGCACTCCACTACGCCTGGCTAATTCTTTGTAGACACAGGGTCTTGCTATGTTGCCTGGGCTGGTCTTGAACTCCTTGACTCAAGCAATCCTCCCATCTTTGTCTACCAAAGTACTGGGATTACAGACATGAGCCACTGTGCCAAGCCTAAAATTATCTTTAGAAGAGAATAAGCTCAAACTACTGGCTAATCTCTTTAGATAGTTTATATGGCTTACAGCATGGCAGAGCTCAGTTTTGGTATTAGAATAATAGTAATTAGTGATCAATGTTAGGTCACATTCTTACTTAAAGGAAAAAGAAAATGAACAAAGAAAGAAAAATAGTATCAAAATTTTTTGTACTTAAACTTTGAACCACAGGTTTATAATCACTTAACAAAGGATAGCATAAGAAAGAAAACGCATATTCCCAGCTAAAATAAGTCAGTCTGAATCAAGGTATCCAAGACATTTCTTCCACATAGAATGAGCAAATTTGGGACAAATGTCAAATCAGTCAGATTTGGTTACATATTATTCTCTATCTTCTTAATAACATGGCTATTTCTCTGAAACAAACTTTTTATTATTAGTGTAAACTTTATAAAGGGATAACAAACATGCAAAAAGTGTACAAATTATAAATGTAAAGCTCAATAAAATTTGGTAAAATACACACATCCACATGACAAGCATTTGCATCAAGAAACAAAACAAGCCAGGCATGGTGACTCATGGCTGTAATAACAACACTTGGGAGGCCAAGGCTGGAGGATCATCTGAGCCCAGGAGCTTGAGACCAGCCTGAACAACACAGTGAAACGCTCTCTCTTGAAAAAACAAAATTATTATCCATATTCCAGAATGCACTTCATGCACTTGGAGTCACAATCTGAGGCCTTCTTAAGGAAAAACACTTTCCTAATTTAACACTGTTGATTAGTTATGCCTATTTTTTAAACTTGACATTGATTGAATCATAAAATATGTTCTATTTTCTGACTTCTTTCATTCAGTTTTGCATTGTAAGATTCTAAGCCCTTATATTTAAAATAAATACTCTATAACAACACAATCACGTTTGGAAAAGAAAAGATAGTTACCATAAAATCACAGAGATTGCTTGGCATATTAAGCTAGTTTACACAGTTCTTACTGATTAACTTCCAATTTCAGTAAGCAGGTAATTTCACTTTGCAATATTTCTAATTTATTAAATTATGATAACTACAAAATAGTCATATTCCATCTTAAAAGATTAAAGTGTTTTGTTAAATGTGCCTTTCCTGAAACAAACAATCACTTAATGCAAAAGTTTGGGTGTGGAACTAGACAATTTAACTCAGAAATAACTATTTTCTTTTATGATTTTTCATATAAATGCCCTAATATTTGCGGAAAATAGTCAAGAATGAGATAAAAGTTTTTTAAAAATCATATTTAGTGGAATTAAAAAAATAAAACCCTATTGGCATATGTATGTTATACAGTAAGGACTCTAATTTTTATTTCTTTGAATGAATATGATAGTCTTTGGGATCTTAGAGATCTTATTTCAGGACATATTCATCAAAGACGATTGCCAGGATCATTAGCATATTTTTCAAATCTCCCCTCTTCCTCAAGTATTTTCAGTTGAATACTAGTAATTTAAATAGTGAATGATGAAAATTCCAATGGGTGCCATACTTAAGAGCAATTGAATGGATTTTTAATTTTTAGTCTACCCAATTTATAACAAATACATATTTTAAAACCCAAAACCTATCCTGTGAGATGTGGCTCTGACTGATGTTGAGCATATGCAATACCATCATACATAGATAATAACAAAATGTTCTTTCTATAAACTCAGTAACAAGATACGATATATTTAAAAACACACTGAGTCACACCAATAATAAAGTTCAGAGCACAATTTTAAATCTGGGTCAAGATGTGAAAAGTAAGTGAGAGTTTCAGCAGAGTATATTGTCTCTATTTGGTTTTAAAGAATTTTAAACTTACTTTTTTGGTTGTTTGTTTTTTGCATTATGTTTTGGAGTGAGGTGAACTCCAATGTCAGGTGTGACTGAAAAATGAGTAACTCAAGGCCTGGCGGGGGGCTTACACCTGTAATCCCAGCACTTTGGGAGGCTGAGGCAAGCGGATCACAAGGTCAGGAGATCGAGACCATCCTAGCTAACACAGTGAAACCCCGTCTCTACTAAAAATAAAAAAAATTAGCCGGGCATGGTGGCAGGCACCTGTAGTCCCAGCTACTCGGGAAGCTAAGGCAGGAGAATGGCGTGAATCTGGGAGGCTGAGCTTGCAGTGAGACGAGATCACACCACTGCACTCCAGCCTGGGCGATTGAGCGAGACTCCATCTCAAAAAAAAAAAAAAAAAAAAGAAAAGAAAAACTAATAACTCAAAATTTCAGATTTCTTTATTCATAAAATAAAAATAAGGAAGCCCAAAAATAACATTTGAAAATTTTATGTATATTCATACATATGTGTATTTTTTATACAAAAATATAAATATGGCCAAGTCTGGTGTAACTATTATTGTTACCTAAGTTCTCATAATAGTGATTCAAAAGGTTTAACATTTTTCCATATGTTTAGCCATGAATATGTACATTTATGCATTCAATCAATTTAGACCCTTATTACTTCAGACACATTATCACATAATTATAACTCCCTTAACAAAATAATGCATTAACCATTTTTCTCTTATAGAACTCCAGATGCAAGCACTTTGCTCTAATAACTCTATTTTTCTTAATTTTCTTTTGCAGTTCTCTTTTATTGCTTCCAGTTCTTCTTCTTTCTTTTTTTTTTTTTTTTTTTTTTTTTTTTTTGAGAGGGAGTTTCACTCCTCTTGCCCAAGCTGGAGTGCAGTGGCTTAATCTCGGCTCACCATAACCTCCGCCTCCCGGGTTCAAGCAATTCTCCTGCCATAGCCTCCCGAGTAGCTGGGTTTACAGGCACTTTGGGAGGCTGAGGTAGGAGGATCACCTGAGGTCACGAGGTCAAGACCA